AAAAATCCTTAAACTATTGAAAAGTACAAAGTCTGGCTCGAAAGTCATAAGATGCAGATTATGTACAATCTGTAATGTCCCAGAGTAAAGTTAATAAATTCAGCAATTCAGTTAAAATATTTGCATCCAAATATTTGGGTACATCATTCATAAAAGGTTATACTAAGAGTAGCTTTTGGTAGCTTTACAAAATGCCCCCTTAATTCTGGGTGCAATGCAAATCAGCTATCACCTGTAACTATTCTTTTCCATTATAAAGCAGCAGTACTAAGAGTACAGGATAGGCACAAGTCTAGTGCCAGTTCTCTCTGTAACTCACTGCATGGCCCTCACAAAATAAGGTTACAGATTTTCCAAAGCACCTATAGGATTTAAGAGCACAAGTCCCTGAACTTCTCTAGATACTGGAGAGAGACAAGGTGGGTGAGGTAATATCTTGTATTGAACCAAATTCTATTGGTGACAGACACATGCTTCTGACTCTGAGCTTACACAGATAGTGTCACTGCTAAATATGCTAAACATTTTGTTCCACCTTGTAAAGTAGTTAATGAAGATTGTAAAGGGACCATTCAAGGTAAAATGGCCAATAAACAATTCCTGCAAAATAGGGCTATTAGATTAAAGAGTCTTGTAACAAGCCATAAATCCAGTTTTTTGTATTAAGACCATGATTTTTAGAATCTAGCAAGCTTACTAATGTAAGCTCCCAGGCTCATCTTCTGAAGGTGGAGTTCAGGTTTCCTTTGAAGAGGACTGATCTGGTCAGATATAGAGTGATTGTTTTGTGAAAAGTGTTCCATCTACAGGAAATATGGTATTTTTGTCTTTTGTCTGTGTGACATCATTCAAAAGGACCCCAATTGTCCGGTTTCACTCACATGGTTGTTGGGATACTTAGCACATTAGATAAGGTACACCACATATAATACCCATGGATTTCATCAATAGAAGCTGGTCCAGAGAAAGATTCTCTCACCCACCCTCTCACTACAACACTCTAATGCTTTAGGCATTTTGAAAATTCTCCCTTTCAAATTCAGATTCTTCATTTGTAAAATAGAAATGCTGACTTTTGCCAGCAGTGTATTTTGAAAATGAGGAAATCATGCAATGTTTTAAGTATGTAAGACACCAGATAATTCTTACTATATCCCCAGTGATCCTTCTGTTTTAAGTGAGTCTACAAACAAAATGAATACAACTAATCAGCATACCATGACACACTATTTGGAAACACAGTGGAACAAGCATGTGATAGTGTTGCCAACTTTCCTGACTGGATGCCATTGCCATGAAGGGTGTCCAGTCCATCCAGGCTAGGAGAGTTGGCAACCACAGATACAAATCCAAGTCACTCCAGGAAAAACCTAGATTATCAACACAACAATGGAAGTTAATTGAAGCAAAGTGTGATTCTTTGATCCTAAGTATGTTTTCTCTCTTCCTACAGAGACGTGAACCGCTATCCAACACTAGTAGGCAATTTTAATGTACATACAGCATCAACAAGTAAAAAGTATTTGAAGGTGCCAGACTGGGAAGAAAGTCATCCTAAATACCATGAGAAACAAAAGAGTAGCAGTAGTCAAGAAGCTAAAGTCCTACTTAGAATGATGCAAGTCATCAAATTGCTCAGCAATTTAACAAATTCACTTAAGCTCAAAGTTCAGCAAAGGGAAGAGAATGAGCAAGAAAGGAGATGGATCTAAGTGGAACTTCGGAGATCAAAAGTGAGCAGCTAAATACAAGTGATGCATCAAGAATGCTGAGCAAGTCATGCCAGTTTATTGGAGGAAAGATTGTACTTCACCACTTGTCAGGGGAAAACAAGTTTCATTACCTCTTCTGTAGGAGCTCTTCTGTTTCACAGGCAGCTTGGAAGCTGAGAAGAGGCTCTTTGGAAGAGAGAAGATATTGCCGTTTGGAGCAGGTCTATTGGGGACTGCAATTAAGGAGCAACTGAAACCCATCTGTTGTCTATACTGCTTAGACAACAGGTGGTAGCCTTTCCCTGTTTAGATTCCAACAAGAGGACAGCCCTTCATTAAGCATCAGCACAATTTAACAATCCTCAACAGAAGTACAGGGCTGGTTTAGTTAAGCAGATGAAACTGTTGTATATAAAGGTTACTTAAAGCAAATACAATTAAACCAGTGCACATGTGGGCACTTAAATCAATAACCCTTTCATATCAAATTAACTTGAGTCAATTAGGAAAAAGATTAAGCTAAACCACCATAAGCTATTTTTAAACCAATAGTGTCTGTGCTGGGTTTTGCACTGGTTTAAAATCAGTTTAAAAGCCAATTTATCTTAAATTGATGTAATGCTATTTACAGAGTGCTTAAGGCTGAACATATTCCACAAAGTTCTATGTTCACTTTGTGTTACCATCTAGGATGTACCTTGTATAGTTGGTTTCTATTTGTGATTAAAGACACTTGCTCCTTCTTTGAGGTACACTGGACCAAGTCAAACTGCTGGGTATGAGTGGCACACAGACACATGTTGCCCCAATCTAGGGAAATGTCCCTCTTGAATCATCTGGAGGAAGGAGTTGCATCAGCTATAGAACTGAATTCTGAGGAATCAAAATTGCTACTGTCAAACAGTTTGAGGAAGATACCAGAAAACAAGGTAGGGGTAGAAATCTTCAGTCCAGCCCTTGAGGCTCAGACCCCCTCTCTTCCTGCAGTGGGGGGAGGGAACGGGAAATCAGTAGGGAGCCTGCACTAAAGCCCCTGCGTGGCCAGCTCTGCTGGATGTGTGAGAGTAGGAAGAGGCCCCAGCCCACCCACTGCACTATTCCTGGCTAGGGGAAGAGCTGTCTAGTGAAGCATTCACCTGCAAACTCCACCCCCTCTCCCTCATTAGCTGGGAATTGTGGCGATTGGAAGTAGCAGGGGGCAATGCCTGGAAGTAAAAGGAAGCAGTCACCTGCCCCCACCCCCACCTCCTAGGAGCTGCAT